TGTCTGTACACTATTTGCATGGAAAATACTAATAGTGTGCAAAGAACTAAATGTTTCTGAGTTATTCTTTGACATTTACTTCTGGAGATAGTGCCCAAGGGTCAACTCTAGCAACCAACACAAACATGTAACCTGAAGGTGCACCCCATGCAGACCTGGACCCTTTTTGTCCTCAGCTCACCTTCATTGGCTCCCTGCTTGAGTGTCATTTCTGAGCTGGTTGGTTGTTGCACACTAAATCTGATTCTTGGCCAAGTTATTTTGAGTGTGATTATGATTACACATGACCAAATATGTCCACAGTGGAATAGCAGTGGGGTTCCGAGGAACCCCACCCTTCCTCCTCCCAAGACTGTCCTTTTTGTGTTTACTTATTATGACACGATAGTTGTCATTATGTGCAAAAATGGATTTCCTATAACAGAGGAAATCAAAGCCCTAGTGTGAAATAGTCAGCTTTCTTTAATGTTTCTAAATGATTTCATAAATCTCTGCTCTTTTAGGACCCTTCAGATAAAATTAAATAGAGGAGAAAGAAGAAACTTAGGTCATCCCAACTGAATCAAGAAAACATGGTCTTCCAAAAGCCACAGAAACCAAGACTTAATTACTCCTGAACATTAGGTTTGTTTAGCACTTTTTAAAACTAGTAAAAAATAGTGTCATTATTATTGTCAGGGAGGAAAGAGAGAATGATTGAGAAATTGTTCTTCTGAATTCAGAAGGGAATTCAAAAAAATTACTTAGGTTCTCAACAAAGGGAACAATAATTCTTGCTTTATCTATGCCACATATTTGCTGTAGCTTCAGTATTTACTGGCCACAGGAAGCTCTTTGAAGCCAGATTTCCCCTGCTATCCCCTTGAGGTCTCTGCGCAGTAAGTCTGGGGATGTACCTGAAAGGGCACCCAGGGTGCCTAGAAATCAGATTTCCATAACACAGGTCACCCTCCTATAAATTTTGTCCTTGGTTTTTACAAATTTTATATGAAATTAAATATTAGCTTAGTAGGTATGTGAGCAAGTGAGAAAATTTGGTGAACAGGTGTGCACAGGTGCCTCACAAGCTTAAGCACTGGGTTAACTGTGGCTGGCACAGATGAGGACAGAGGAGCAGAGTTCAGGCCACTAGAACTGGGTGCTCTCCCTGTTTTAAAAAATACCCAATATTTTGCTATTATTCAAGTATGCATGGTGAGGCCCACAGACCAGAAGATGATTACCATGGAAAAGATGGTTTTACTCATGGTTCCCAAGATTGGGGGGTGGGGCACCACACACTGTGCAGGACCACAGGACAGAACATTGAGGTCAAAGTCCATGCAAACAGAGCAAGGGGAACAACAGGAAAGCCTTTGTTGTGGTTTTTTTCAGAAAAACCTGGTAAGGTAGGGCAACAGTGGGCCGACCAGGTCTGGGATTGCTAGTTGGAGTAATTTTAGCAAGCTCCAAAGTATAGCCCCTAGATGTCTGATGCCTGGCCTGGGGCACTTAGGGCCTAGGGTTAATGTCTCACAAGCTTAAGAGGGGATAAAGCAGGTGGGTGGACTCCAGATTGGTTAGTTTGCATATGAGAAGGTGAGCTCCTGGGAGAGTTGATTGCTGTCTCTAGGAGTAGCTAACCCTGGAGGGGGGCAGTTCCTCCCTAAGCAGCAAAACTCAAGCTCAAAACTTCAGAAACTAGAAAATACAGTTAATACACTCCCACCCAGAAGTTACAGGTCAGAGGCATAGGGTCTTTGCTGCAGGACAGGCCTCAGGAGAGCAATTGACTAGTCTGAGCACTTCCCTTTCCCATATTGCTTCCTGATCCTGCCCTAGTCTGGAGTGAGATAGTTCTAGAAACTTCTTCACTGGGGCCTAGGACTAGCCAGTTCTTTCAGGGCGTGCACCCTGGCATCTCACAGAATAGTTTCTCCTCACAAGGGGTAAAGGCTGGGACTTTTTACTGAAACTGAGTAAGTAGGTAGGAGGGTTAGAGAAGGAGCTTTAGGACAGCAGACAGGAGTTCCGCAGAGAATTCTGTCCCCAGAATCTAGGCTGTGACCGGATTTATTTACAAGTTTCTGTTTGAACACCTGTTTTCAATTCTTTGGGGTATATACTTAGGAGAGGAATTGCTGGATCATATGGTAGTTCTGTTTTTGAGGAACCACCAAACTCTCTTTCCACAGCTGCTGCACCAGTTTACATTCCCACCAGGAGTGAGAAAGCGTTCTAGTTTCTCTCCATCCTTGCGCTTGTTATTTTGTGTTTGCTTGGTACAGCCTCCTAGTGGGTGTGAAGTTTCTATCTCACTGTGATTCTGATTTGCATTTCCCTAACAACTGAAGATGTTGAGCATCTTTTCCTGTACTTGTTGGCCATTTGTATATCTTTGGGGAAATGTCTATTGAAGACTTTTGCCCGTTTTTTTTTAAAGTGAGTTGTTTGCCTTTATGTTTTGAGTTGTAAGAATTCTTTATATATTCTGGATATTAGGTCCTTATCAGATATATGATTTACAAATATTATCTCCCATTCTGTGGATTGCCTTTTCACTTTTTCAATAGTGTTCTTTGATGCAGTTTTATTTTGATGATATGTCAGCTACTTCCTTGGAAACCAAACTGTCTTGCTTAGACCTTATCCTCTGTCTCCAACCTGACTCCCTTTGGGGGCTTGTTCTCTCTGGTCCTGCTCAGTCTGATCTGCCACTACTTTATCAGGACTCCCTTACCTCCCTTTCAGACCTGGTGCCTCCAACCATGCCCTGTCTCACCCTACTTTGCAACAGGAAAATATTCCCCCTGGACTCTTAGAGTCAGGGTGGGTATCTGGGTTTCTCCCTTTTTACCTTCCCTGAAAATTGTGTCCTTCTTGGGGCAGTCACATGATAACCCCTGCCTCAGCTCAGTGGAATCCCACCAGAACACAGCTGAAAAGGAGTGATGGGATAAAGAAACAGACCAACATTCAGACCCAGCCAGAGTGTCCCCTGAGATTTTCCCAGGTTAGAGAGGATAAGGCCATTCGTTGGTTCAATCCATCCTGTTTTTGAAATTACAAAGAGATCTGGCCAAAATTCCCAATAATTGGGGCTGAATCCAAGCTATAACATTGGCTAGCTATATGACTTTGGGTAAGTTATTTAGGGTGTCTGGCCTCATTTTGAATAGTTAGTAGGTGCACACAGTTAGAAAATTCAAGAACTATACAAATAGCTACAATGAGGGGTTAATTTTCCTCCCACCCTCATCCTGCAGCCACTCATTTCCTCTCCCGGAGACAAATACTGTAAACACATTCTGGATTTTAAAATAAACATGCATAAACAAATCAGTTTATGTTGATTTAAATTTTCTTTTCACTCAAATGGTAGGACACTATATACAGTTTATATATTGCTTTTTTTAGCAGTAGAACTTGATGCTCTTACCATTTCAGTGCATAAGGATCAGCTTTATTATTTTTCACAGCTGCATAATATTCTACCTTGTGAACATTCCATAATTTGTTTAACTTGCTCCCTGTTGATTTAGTTTCTTTTTCTTATAAATAATGTGTACAGCTGAGCTACAGCTACACATCCAGCAAAAATGGGTCTTCAAAACATACCATTCAACAAAAAGGCCAGGCACAAAAGAATATATGCTGTGTGATTCTATTTACATACTGTTCAAAAATAATGAAAATGAATATGCATGTACTGTTTATTGTTTAGGGATCTCTAGTTATGTAGAAAACTGAAAATAAAGCAAGAAAATATTACCTTAAAGTCAGGGTAGTGGTTAAGCATGGATTAACCCACGACTGGAGGGTGATTGCCAGGATAGAGGCATCTGGGCTGCCGGCAATGTTTAATTTCTCCAAGTAGTAGTTACATTGTATGTGCACTCCATTAAACTCTACGTTTTGCATTGTCAATCTTTGTGTGCTTTTTCACAATAAAAACTTAAAATGAAGTGAAAAAGTAATGCATTAATATTTTTGTTCATATTTTACACTAGAGGCCATATCTGCATGATACATTCCTACAGGCTGAATTGCTTGATCAAATACTTCTACATTTAATGTTTGATGGAAAATGCCCTATTGCCTTTCATGGAAGTTATACTGATTTACTCCCCCACCAACCTCACGCTAACATGCCTGATTATCGCACTCTCACTGACACAGTGAGGCATCATCAAACCTTTGGTGCTTGCCCATCTGATAAATGGCATTTGACTTTTGTTTTAAATTATCTTTTTTATATTATAGGGCCTTAGTGGTTTTATTTGTAAAAATGTGTATAGAAGTAATCTTTTAAGAGGGCACAAATGGATGGGAATGCTCCTTTATGAAAAATCAAGGACTATGAGAATGTGGTTTACGGGTATTATATCCCAAGCTGTGACCCACCTCTGCTTAAACTCATGGACTCCCTCACACTGATATGTCTACCCTTTGTTTATCTCCTAAAATGAAAGAGTTAACCTCTGTCACTCAAATTGCCCTTGCAGTACTTCAGGGGAACCCTTGGCAAGGACAGGGGTGTTGAAGGACTGAGAAGGTGTGCAGTGAGTAAGCAAACCATGTTCCAGGAAGGTTAAACTCCTGCGGCAGGGTTCTGAGTGGAGGCTGCAGCAAGCAGCCCGGCTCCAGCTGGTGGCGCCCTCTCTCTGGGAAAAGCAGCTCATTCACCCCTTTCCTTCACTCTCACCTCCTACATTATTGGGCATCGAATGTGATTTTGCTCTGGAGCTCAGGGGCAGCACACCCTAAGAAAAGCTTCTAATAATTCCTCAGCCTTGAGGTCCTCTGCCTGAAGCCCAAGGAGAGACCACGGCCTGTGGAGAAGGAGTGAGAATCCCCTCTTTGGAGCACTGGGTGTTTAGGAGCAAAGGAGGCACCTGCCACTGAGGAGAGGGTGTGGCCTAAGTGGCACTGCCTGCACCCTGCACCAAATCCCACCCTCCTCCAGGCCTCACGCATGGCCCAAGTGCAGACAGAGTGGAATGGCATGATAGTTACACAATTGCCAGGAATTGTACATGATGCAATTCTTCCTAGTTTCTTTTATTCATTGTTTCCTGAAGTACCACTTTTGCCCAAATACATATATTTAAAGAAAAGAAATCCTATCTCTACTCTGAATTAAAAACTAGTATTTTTCTATTTACACATTAAAATAAATAAGGGACCAATGACCCATTAATGTAAACAAAAAACTAAATTAAAAACTTTTTTGTCATTCTGCCAAATAAAGATGCCTTCCATGCCACCAGTGCGACTCACAGTGATGTCCTGGCTACTCTTTACGCTGGTGGTTCTCCAGTGCCCCTCCACCACCACAGGGACATGGCAACGTCTGGTCATATTTTGGGGTTGTCACAATTGAGGAGGTGGTGGTGTCACTGGTATCCCGTGGGTAGAGGCCAAGTAGGATACTAACCATCCTACAATTCACAGGGCAGTCTCCACAACAAAGTATCATCGGGCCCAGAATATCTGCCATGCTGAGATCAAGAACCCCTATCTGCACAGATCCTTCCTCAGAGCCTGACGCTCCAGGCAGTCTTCCTCCGGAACACCTACAACACCCACACACATCTGTGTGATCACCCTCCGCACACTACAAGGTCAGATTTGTTTATTATTTGTTTCCTCTTTAAAAGTGTGAGCCCCGCGAGAGTGAGGACTTTCTTTTCTCTCCATTTTGTAATTGTGTTTAATGCCTTATGCATATTTTTTCTCAACACTTGAACATCACCTGGTATGTGCTGTTTGTTCCATAAGTGACTATCAAAGCCATGAATTCAGTTTTGAGAGTCCTAGGAAACAGAAACTGTTAGCAATGAGTAGTGAGATGAAGAAAAGGTTATTATTTATAAAGCTCTCACTTGTATCACACCATACCTTCCTAAAACACCAGTGTGGACAGTAACACAGTTACATCTATTTTATACATATGCAGATTAAAGGCGTTGATCATTTACAGAAGCTCCAAGATCCCTGGACTTGACAGAGGGCCAGTTGAGACTCTTCACCCAATTCATCTGACTTGGGAAGGCTAGTTCTCTTTTTGCTGTGCAAAGATCATCCCCTAAATACATTCCTGTTAAAGACAATGAGAGGAGGCTCTGGATTCAAGACAGCCAGCCTTCCAGGAGCAAAAACTCATCTTCCTTCTCTCCTAAGATAATATTAAAACGTTGTAAGGGGATACAACTGAACTGAACCCATAGCTGTAATGAAAATGGATGAGTCCCAGTGATGGAAATTTTCAGCAAATATTAGCAATATGGAGAGCAAATGGAACTTACTGACCTACGAAAGAAGGCAAAGGGAGCCTCAGTTCATAGTAAACACTAGAGAGGGATGCAGTAGCGGAGAAAAGCAATCAGGCTGCTAAAATAGACCCCCGGAAAGAAGCCACCCCTCCTCCTCCACTTCTCCCTCCTCTCTCTCTTCCTGCTCCCTTCCTCTTTCTTCTTTGGAAGAACTGCCCTTCTCCGAGGCTACCCACCAAACCCGCCAGGGTCGAGTAGTGGCAGGCGAATCCCCCAAAGGTGCCGTTCCCATATCGCCACAGGAGCTTTGACCGCGCATATCCCTCCAACCCGAGACCCTACACTCTACCCGAGCGGCAATCGGAATCCGACGCGCCCTTCCGCACCACCGCACCTCCGCACTTTTCCGTCTACCCGCCTCCGACGTCTGGCCGCTCTTCCGTGGTTGCCGCGGTCCTCAGCAATTGTGCTGGGACCCTCAAAGTTGACCATCCCCAACAGGAGGTGCCCAGGCTTGTCTGGCTTCATTCCAGTCCCAGTGTTTGTTTTTCCCAATTAAAAAAAAAATTTTTTTTCAGAATTCCAAAAAGCAAATCTTGAATTTGCTGCCCACTGGCAATTATTTCCGTAACACTTACACTGTATTTACAGCTATTTACATAGCATTTACACATTGTATTAGCTGCTATAAGTAACCTACAGATGATTTAAAGTATATGGAAGGTTGTACAAAAGTTGTATGCAAATACTATGCCATTTATATAAGGCATCTGAGCATCCACGGATTTAGGTATGCAGGGGTGCCCTGGATCCAGTCCTCCGCGGATACCCAGGAAGGAGTCTATATGCTGCTCATAAATGAAACTGTTCTGAGCGTGTCGTTTTCCATACATGGATAATAAATGAATTTTAAATTGAGGTTGAACATGAATTGCTGTTAACATCTGAATTTATATTTAGAGAAGGTGGGTGTTGTACAACCAAGCCTCTTAAACTTGCAAGCTCTCCAAGGTCACCTAAACCGCAGGGTTGATCTTCCTTCAGTCTAGGGTGCAGTTACCCTGAGGACCTTATCCGCGGCGCTGGGAGGTCCTGCGCTAACTCCCACCTGGAAGCTTCGCTGGTCTCTCCCTGTTATCAGGCTCTTTGCTTCACAGAGCCCACCCATCCCCGCCACACACACGGATTTGGGACCCTTCTGTCTTGCAGGTTTCTCGGTTCTCCCAACTCAGATGACTTCCCCAAGCTTGATGTGCCTTTTGCTTCCCAGAGGTGTAGGGAAGAAGCAATTCGATTTGGTCCTTTGAGCTTCTCGTTGTGTCTGGAAAGAGTGAGGCGCTGTGAGTTAGTGAGAAGTCAGGGGAGACTCAAGGGGCAGACTTCCCTGTTCTTATCGGCCGTTATTCGAGATTTGTAACATCTCAATAAGAGGATTTTTCCTCAGTATGAAGGAAACGGTCAAATTGGAGAAAGAGCCAGGAGGAATAAGAAAAGATGATGGGTTTCAGTACTAGCAAATAGTTCACAAGAAACCTAACACAGTCGGGAAAGCGAAAAGTGTCTTCCCTGAAGTTCCTCTGCTGCTGTGTGGGTCACAGATGTTAGCTTCCCTCCGCCGAGTCCGTTCCTTTGGCGCCACCTTGTGGCCGCTCCGCCCAGACTGAGTTGCCGCTCTTGTTCTCTGCTTAGTCTGCGTCCATGCCTCGCCCAGCTCCCCTCATCTGCCCTCGCTCATTCCAAAGTCCATGAATACTTAGCGCTCAAACTCGGTTTGCACAGCAGTGCCCCAACCAAGGAGATCCATTTTCACCTAGAGTCCTCTGACAGCGCGGGCTTCTACTTTGCGCTGCCCGGGTCTCTGGTTCCAGCCTTCCCTCCCACCCTTTGTGGCTGCTTCATCTCCGGCCTCTACCTTTGTCTGGGATGCCAAAGGCAGAGTGTGGCCACTGTCCTTGCTGAAATCGTCATTATCTGTCACTGATATTTCTGCCAGATTCTTCTAACACATTTATTTGCTTCCAGTCTTGCTCTCCCCCAAAGATTTAATAACAGAATTTGCTTGTATTGATTCTTTTGAAACAGAATGCAGTTTGGTCTTCGCCCTACTTAAAATCTTCAGTGGCCCACCCAATAATTTCTAGAAAACATAGCCCCAAATTGAGTACAGTCTGAATACCAACAAAGCAAAAGCTATCATTATGTAGGATACATCTTTAAAGCATTTTAATTGTAGAAGGTAAGGGAATGGGTTCTTCCCTAGAGCCTCCAGAAGGAAACACCCAGCTGACACTTTGACTTTAGTCCACTGAAACTAACTTGGAACTTCTGACCTCAAGACCTATAAGAGAAAAGATTTGTTTGCCCCTCAGATGAGCCCCTAGGGTTTGAAGGACACAACACAACTTTTCAGCCCCTCTTCTAGCAGGCCCTCTGCAGAAGAGAACCCAGGAAATATATCTCCCAGAATCCCCTCCCCTGTATAGTTCCAGTTCAAGTTTTCCAGTAGGAGAGACTTGCATGAGATATGGAGTCTAGAAGAGATCCTATTATCAGGATCACAGATAAGCAGGCAGATGTGAAATTCTCAGCAGCTGCTGTGCTAGGCTTGAGGCCCACCTGCTTTGCCTATGCAGAATGAGACATGGGATGTGGGTTTCCTCACAGGTTCTAGAGAATTGCAGAGTCTCCCAGAAAGCTTTTGAGAACCACCCATGAGTGTTACGGGCTGAGGTCTCCAGCATTTTGCTTCCCTGAACTTCCAATTTCAGCCTCTCAGAATTTTGGTGGTGACTGGTATCATTTTCCTATGTCTGCCACAGCAAATTACCACAAAATTAGTGGCTTAAAACAGCATAAATTTATTATCTTACAGTTCTGAATGTCATACTTTGAAATAGGTTTCACTAGACTGAAATTAAGATGTCAGCAAGGCTGTGTTCCTTCTGCAATCTCTAGAGGGGAATCTGTTTCCTTGTCTTCTCCAGTCTCTAGAGAGACTTGGCTCGTGGCCCCTTCCTCTGTCTTCCAAGTCAGCAGTCCAGTCACTGTGACCTCTGACTCTGTCGACAAATCTCATTCTCTAACTCTGACCCTCCTGCCTTCCTTTTTCACTTATAAAGAACCCTATGTTTACATTGGACCTTCCTGGATAATCCATAATAATATTCCCATCTCAAGAGCCAAAAAGTCCTTTTTGCCATATCAGGTGACATTTTCACCTGTTCCAGGGATTAGGACTTGGGCTTCTTTGAGAGACCATCATCTTGCCTCCCACATGACTTCACTAATGTTTGCTCCCCAGATTTTCAACAGTGGTATAAACTGTTATTCCTATGTTAAATTTTTTATTCCTGGAATACCAGAGTGGTTCTGTTTTTTTCTGAAAAAGCCTGCACTGATACAAGAAGAACTGAAAAATTTTGCTCCTATTATCTCAAAGTCTCTAAATGGTGCTAATTTCTTAATATGTGATAGGTATAAATTAGGCAGTGATCTTGCTGGGGCAATGGAGGAATTAAAAAAGAAATCATCAGACACCTCATTTGATTCCGCCCCTTTTCCGCAGTGTCTGGTTCTCTTGGGCTCTGGTCTGTAATTTCCCCCTCACGTTGACCCCAGCCAATTCCTGATTGAAAGAGCTTTTTACAGGATTTGTATTCAGTTCTTGGATTTGTCATCTTTATCCTCTCTTGTGTCTCCATGTTTGAGTTTTTCCTTCTCTTCCAACACCGTAGTCCTGCTTTGATTCTTGTCATTGTACTCTTCCTGGCTTGCGCACAAGTAAGCCAATTCTCCAAGAAGAAATTCCAGATACCTCTTCATTGTTTGTTTATTTGTTACTGTTTTTATTTAGCTGCAGAGTTTCTGGGGCATGCTTTCAAGTTTATTAACTTTATTTTTTAGATTTTACTGTAAAAATGATGTATACTCACACTAGGAAATAAAACAATCAAATTTGTATAAATATATTTTTAAATCTCTTCCACCACTAAACCCACTCCCACTTTATTGAGGTAATTAATATTATCAGCCTACTCCCTATATTTTCAATTTCTCCATTTTCATGCAAACATAAACACCTATACTGGGTATTTTTCTCTTATAGCTTTTATTTTAGAAAAAAACCCACAAATTTTACTTATAACAATCATTTTTAACAACTTCAGATGTAATTCACCTATCCGACAATTCACACAAAGTATACAATTCAGTGGTTTTTACATATTCACAGAGTTGTGCCACCGTTACCACAATCAACTCTAGAATACTTGATCACCCTCCCAAAAGAAACCCCATACCCTTAAGCAGTCACTCTCCATTTCCCCCAAAGACCTCAGTCTTAGGTAACTACCAACCTATCTTTTATTTCTACAGATTTCCTATTCTGGGTACTTTATATTATTAAATCATGGAATATGTGGCCTTTGGGTTCTGGCCTCTTTTACTTAGGAATATGTTTTCAAGTTTCATCCTTTTTGTAGCATGATTACTATTTCATTTCTTTTCTTTCTTTTTTGACTGAATAATATTCCATTATATAGACATACTACATTTTGTTTATTCATTTATTATTTGATAAACATTTGGGTTGTTTCCATTTTTTTGCTACTATGAATAATAATGCTGTTATAAACATTTGGGTATAATGTTCTTGTGTGGACATGTGTTTTTACTTCTAGGTATATACCTAGGAGAGGGATTGCTTGATCATATGGTAACTTCATATTTAACCTTCTGAGGGACTGCTAGCCTGTTTTCCAAAGGGGCTGTACCATTTTACATTCCCACCAGCAGTGTTCCAATTTCTCCACATTCTCACCAACACTTGCTATTATCTTTTTTATAATAGCCCTTTCAGTGGGTGGGGAGTGGTATCACGTTAGGGTTTGATTTATGTTTCTCTGATGGCTGATGATGTTGAACATCTTTTCATGTACTTATTGGCTTTTGTGTGTCTTCTGCTGTCCAGAGAGGGTAAATTCCTGGGCTCCTTGCAGACTACCTCCTACTTTAAGAATATGCTCCTGCCAGACCAATCTCCTCACTTTCCTCTGCTCATACCATAATTCTGTCTGCTTCTGCACCTTTGCTCGTTACAACTCTCTTACCAATTCTCAAGGGTCAACAGTGACCTCTAGTTTCAAATGTAACTTTCCTGCTTCATTTCTCTCAAACTCTCTAGGGCTTTCTGCAGAGTACAGTCATCCTTCTTGAAGTGCTCACTTTGGCCTAAGTGCTGTTACACTACAGGCTCACTATAGGTAGGCTGCCTGGCAGAAAAGAGGCTCAGTTGTCTTACTGCCTGTATGATTCACTTCCTTTTCTGTCCAGACTCTTGTATTACAGTGGCATCACGATTAATGAACTATTGGAAGTGGGGGAGATTCAGAATTTGAGATCTTGATTAATGACTGTGCTTAAAATCACAACTTCATGACCACGAAGGTTTATCTCAAACTTTCTTCTCTAATATCCCACTGAATCCAGTTGAGAGAAAAGTCCAGCTCCCTATGCCTAAGACGTGTAGATCTGTCCACGGTGCTGAAAGACAAACTGGCAGGTTCCACCAACTCCATGAATGGCCTTCTTATTGTGGAAAACTGCTCTACAGTTAAATTTGTACATTCATTATTTATAAGTTTAGAGCATCCGAGTTACTGAACAATCCAGCAGTAAGCTGTAAAAATACCAAAAGATCCATAAAATATTCTCTTATGCCCTATACTGAAATGTACAGAACAAAACAAAAATAGACAACATAATGAGTGAGAAGTTCATTTTTAAATGTTTTATCAGAATATAAATAAAAGAAATCCAATATTATTGTGGAATAAAGAGATTAAAAAAGTTCAGATGTCAATTAACTTTGCTTATCCCCTCCCATATTATCCTTTTTAACCCCACCAGACATTTTA